CTTTCTGATGTGAAGCCATCTTCCCTGTCTCCGTGTAACCTCAGGCAATTTTACTTAACATGTCTGAAGCTTGTTATTCTCAGTTGATAAAAATAAGGATTAGAGTTTTCCTTTGTCAGGGTGTTCTGAGGATTAAAAGGACATGCAAAGAGCCCGAAGTCAGACTCATACACTACTACGTGGGGCCTGAAGTGGCGCAGCTGCTGGAAGGGAATTTGTCATTGTCTACTAGACTATAAAATGCACAGATCTTTTAACACATGCATTCCACTTCTAGAAATGTATCCTGTGGGAAGATATGTGTTCAGGGATGTTCACTGCAACTTTAACTGTAATAACAATAAAAACAATTAAATCTCCATCCAGAAGAAAATTCTTCCTTTAGAAACTGAGACAGATTTTATGCCAAGGCAATGGTAAGCCTTTTGAAATACATCATTAACCTAAAAAGAATCACACTGAATAATGTGTGAGGTGGAGTTTTGAACTCATGTATGAAATGACAGAATATAAATATAAAAACGCATATATGTAATTACAGATAAAATTAATATCTACCTCTGATGTGAGAAAAAGAAAATAAAGATGATTTTCACCACTGATTCTATATTCTCTTGTACTTTTTAAAATTTTTATCTTAAAAATGTGTAGTATCTGTACTGTATGTGATTTGTACAACAGAAAAATATACAGTGGGTACTAAATAGACATTTCCTTCTGTCTATATATGTCTATGATTAGTGTTACAATGTTTACTATTATAATTGTTATTACTATCGGAGTTGTTACAACTTCATATACACTTAGAAAATAAATATTATCCCATGGACTATTCTGCCCCATTTAGAGGGCTTTCCACAGAGTTTTGGATCTTGCTCTCCATTTATGATCTCCACTAAAGGTCTGTATCACACAGTCTGAGCTAAGGGATGCACAAAGGTTAATACAAACATATAAAGGCAAGGCAGGGATAGTCTCCCACACCTCTATTTGTGGAGTCATTTGTCTCCCTGTTAAAATGCAATAAAGACAATAAAAGCAAATCAGCTGTGGAAAATGAAAGCGCCCTCTATTCATAAAAACAGTTCAAATGAGAAGTCTTTTAATGGGGATGGGACAACTACCATGCAAAGCAGTGGGAGAGAAACACATAAAACCTTTAAGACAATTCATTAACCACAAAGGATTGTAAGCAATTCAAATCCTTTCCCCTAAAACATGTTTATGTTCCAAGTGGACACCTTCAAGCACATTCTCAAACTGACATACCTTCTGCAAAGACAGAAGGCAAAAGCCGTATCTTTCACCATAGAATCCACCCTGCTGATCAGTGGATCCTTGGAAGAAATGTGGTTCCATACTGGGCATAACAAAGGGGTTGGCACGGAGCGGGCAGAAGGCCCTCAGCTCATGTGTAGCCCAGACTTTTCAGTCTGCTTCAACAAACTCACCTTCCTCAATGAATAAATCAATGGTTTGGGAAAGCTAGCAATCTCATTTCTGGAGCATCTTGCCTAAAATGAAGATAATAATATGTGTATAACTGGTCTCTTGTATCTGTTATGATGCTTGGATTTTCTTTTAATGAAAAGAAAATGTGTAGTGACTTTAAATTGCTCCTTTTAAATCACACCAGCCACCCTAGTGACACACGGCTACCACTCATGAAAAGTGAGCTTGTTCCAGAAACAAGTATGCGCCCTTCCCTTTTCTACCACCCCTACTTTCATCTCTCCAATTCCAAGT